CCCAAAGCAATGGGTTCAAATTACAGGAAAGGAGATTCTAAGTAAATTTTCAGAACTTCCTGGTGGTGGGAGTTTTTTAACGGTGGAAAAGATTGCCTCGGAAGGACTCTGGCTCTTTGGAAGTCTTTAAATAGAAGTTGTAGGACCACAAGTTGATGGCCAAGGCTAAAGGCGGGATATAAATAAATTAGTAGTAGTAGTAGTAGTAGTAGTAGTAGTAGTAGTACCTCTTAGGGTGCTTTAGCTGTGGATTCCTGCACTGGCATGGCATTTGACTAGATTAGTAATTCCCAAACTTTGGTATTACAGATGTTTTGGCCTTCAGCTACCTGAATTCCTGACGGTTGATCAAGCTCGCTGGGGCCTCTGGGATTTGAAGTCCAAAAGGGGACCAAAGTTTGGGAATCACCGATGGATCCTGGGGGATCCTTCCAATTCTGCAATGCTATGAGCAGTAGAAAAAGAGCAAGATTATGGGTGAACAGATGGAGGGCACATCTACAATCTAGACGTGATGCCATTTGAAACCACTTTAACTGCCATGGTGTTATCCTGCAGAATCCTGGGATTTGTAGTTTGGTGAGGCACCTGCACATTTTGGCAGAGAAGGTTACAGGGCTTGTAAAACTACAGATCCCAGGATTCCATAAAATGGAGGTCCCGCACCTAAAGTGGTTGCATTATTTCTACAGTGTAAATGCACCCTCAATTGACTTTGCAAGACCTGAGCAGGGCTGTTGAAGACCAGAGCTCTTGAATTCCTCTTGTTCAGGGCAGCATCAGAAGTTTAAGCTGTCTTGATAGGAAATCACAACAGGTTTTCTTCTCTCTTGGATGCTTTTGATGGAAAAAAGATGTTGGTATATTATTGCATATTACTCGAGTGTCACTCCTTCTTTGGCCTTTTGCGTATTATATTATCTATCGAGTCTTTTATTTCTCTGGATCTCCTTGACAGTGAGGTGCGATTTTCCTTGTTCTGTTTTGCGAGGTGTCTCTCTGGAGTTGGATCGCCTGTCCTAAAAGGAAGCAAAGGCGTTTGATTCTTGGGGAAAGTTGAGTGCAAAAGCAAATATTTGCCTCTGTCTATTTACGTAGTTTTATGTCAAATACTGAATGGCCCCAAGCAATCTGCTCCGTTGAGAGGAGGCTTTCCGGTAATTTGGTTAGTTCTTATGCAAGATGCTGTTGGGGATAAATGCAGAAATGTAAAATTTACCTGGTCTGGTGAAGAGGGGAGACCCTTTCAGTCATTGGATTTGTAGTGGCACTCAAGGGACAGAGAAGATACTGGGTCCAAGTATCACAATCCCGATTACAGTCGAGTTTCCAGGTTTGCAGCTTTGACTTTTGCAGATTTGATTGTTTGCAGATGTGATTAATGTATCGTCTCTAGGAATCTCTAGGTCCTCCAGTGCAACTCTTCTGGAAGTGGGTCATCATAGAGTCGTGCTTGAGGACCTAGAGATTCCTAGAGAAATTATCATTTGTCGTTGTTGTTTATTTCAATAGTGCCATCAATGGTACATGATGCTTTATAAAACATTTATAACTACTTCAATCTAAAATACTAAAATACAATACTAGAATACAATGCTAAAAGTGCAATAGTAAAATACAATAGTAAACTACAATGCAAAAAACCTACACACACAAACCACAAAATACAGAATAAAACAGGTAATAAATTATCGTAAAAATACAGAGCGCAAACAGTTGTCTAGGCATTTGTAGGTCTCCAGAACAATTCTATGATTAGCTTCCAGCATATGGTGACTATAGAATTGAGCTGAAAGACCTAGAGATTCCTAGAGAGATGTCCTCTCAGGTTTTTAAAAAAGTGTTGTTGTTTTTATTTGTGGTTTTCACACTTTCACAGGGGTCCTGCACCTCTAACCCCAGTGAATGCAGAGTGTCCACTGTAATCCTCTGCCATCCCACTTTTCCAGCTGCTTTTGAAATGTCCCAGTTTCTCTCTTCTCCTCTCACTTTCCCCATTTGTCCTCAGCATACTTTGCTTGCTGCAAACTGAATTCAAAATGCAAAAGTAGTTTCCACTGAATTAACTCAGGGGGAGGGAGAACAGGAGAGGGAGGAATTTTGCCCTTCCCAGTAGGATCAGGCAAAAGGAAACTGCTGGAGCCTCTCCTAGTTTGCCTATTCTTCTTCAATGATAACTTTTGCCATCTTGATCATATGCTGATGGTCACATATGCCCTGGTTTTCATCTGGGAAATGTTGGAAAGTACATGAGCATTGTCCAGCAGAAGATTCTCCTGTACATATAGGAAGTACAGTACATGTGTGGCTGGCATCCTGGTGTCATGCAATTGTTTAAGACTGCATCTGCACTGCAGAAACAATGCAGTTTGACACCGCTTTAACTGCAATGGCTTAATGCTATGGAATTATGGTTTTATGGAATTAATTAGTTTTGTTGAGAGATTTTGCCTTCCCTCTTGGAGAGCGCTGGTGCTCCAACAAACTACAACTAAAAATCCCGGAATTCCTTAGTATTGCCCCATGGCAGTCAAAGTGGTGTCAAAATGCATTAATTGTGCAGTGTGGCTAGACCCCCAGTCTCACTTGCAGGAAGGGGGTTGTGGAAATATTATCCTTCTTGCACCCAGATCAGCAGCTGCTGAACAGACCTCCTTTGCCTGATGCGACTACTGGCTGTAAAATTGGGCTTGGGTTGACTGAACCAAGAGATGCTACTTAGGTTGCATCTGCATGGAAAAGGCTGAGAGCGTGTGACTTAGCCAAGGTCACCCAGTGCATAGCAATTTGTCAGTGCCTTCAATGTCCCATGTGATTTCTTAGGATTGCAGAAACAATTCCTGTGCATTTCTCCCTGGCGCAAGGAGATAAGAAGCAGGCAGACTGGCAGATATACTATGGATGCCACAATGTCAGTGTAAGACAGGGTAACACAACTACTAGGTAACTATTGGGAGTTCCTGCATGGCAGAGGGGTTGGACTGGATGACCCTTGTGGTCTCTTCCAACGCTATAATTCTATGATTCTATTGATGCATCTACACTGTAGAAATAATGCAGTTTGACACCACTTTAAGTGGTGCGGCACCAGCCTATGGAACCCTGGGATTCATAGTTTTGCAAGGTCTTTAGTCTACTCTGCCAAAGAGTGCCAAACTACAAATCCCACCATTCTGGGATTTGTCAAGCTGTATTAATTCTGCAATATGGCAGCAGCCTTAATCTCAGGGGTGACCACAGAATTTCTCCACCGTGCCTCTAATGGAATTTCTGTAAAACTGCGTGTTGTCAGTGTCTGAAATGCAAAACTTGGGAGCATTATTCTTTGTAGACTACGGCACCCAGAACTGGTCAGCTAGCTGGATGAGGGTCACTAGTTGTCCGTAGGGAGCTTTTGCCCACCTCATCTGGAATGGCACACATGTGGGGCATGTACTTTGTAGAGCAAGCAGCTTTTGAAACTTTTGGGAAATCATTGCAGGAAGGAAAAGTTTCTTCATGGGTTAATATTAAAACTGCACATTGTTCTAGATCAGCCTGACCTAGCAGTCATCTTGGATGGGATGCCCTTTTTTCATGCCTTATCTTACCCCTTATTTCCCTACGGATAAGCTTTACAGGAAAGGGGTGGTGGCAAAAGGGTAACCCCGATTTGCAAAACTATAAAAAAACATCCAAACATCTGCAATGGAAATTGGAGTCTCTTCCTGGATTCCAGGCACATTCTGGAGCAGCAGAAAGAAAGAGCTGCATTTTGGTGCTTCTCGCATTTCTCCTTCACAACAATGGGGCATTTTGGGTTCTCTCGAGTCGCATTTCATTGCAGAAATGAAGGAAGCCAAGTATGCAAGGAGCCAAATAGGGATCTAAATTCTTGACTGTTTTCACCCAAACCAATGGGAACAAACAATTACGCTAGTTTTCTCCATGAACATGCTCCTGCAGTATTCTTTCCGCATATTCAAATGTTCCAAAGAGTTGCAGAGGGCTGTGTTGTGCAAAGTTGTGCATCGAAAAACGTAGGAGGTTTGTGTTTTGTTTTTGCTTTTAGCAAAACCCTGTTTTTGGTATAGGGGTAAAAAAAGTTTCCTGTGAAAGAAACCATGTTTTCTGTGCAGAAAACAGGTGCTTTGTTTGCACAGGAAATCTGCTTCCTATACAGAAAACTGATTTTTAAAACCATGTATTCAAACGTAGGAGTCACCATAGTGTAGCAGTTTGTGCGTTGGACTAGAAACCAGGGTTCGAATCCCTACTCAGGTGATCTTGAGCAGGCCACCCTTTCCGAACCTCAAAGGAAGGCAATTTGCAAACCTTTTGAAGAAATGTTGTCCGTGATAGCTAGTATGGTGCAGTGATTTGAAGGCTGGACTAGGACTCCAGTGGTGTAATCCCCATTCAGCCCTAGAAGCCTGCTGGATGGCCTTGGGCACACTCTCTCAGCCTCTGACTTTAGCATTGGCAACCC